TTTAATCCATCAGTCTTTTATTTATTTATTTATTTGAATATCCTCATTTATTTATTGCGCTCACAATCAAATTCAATTTCCTCCATTTTCCTCAATAGGCCCTTGTATCACTGATACCACTAATGCTTTCATTGGCAATTACTCAAAATATCATATCAATCCAATCTTTAATACTTTATCAGAGATGATTCATTCCAAAATTTTGTCTGATCATTCAATCACTAAAGTTCGTGCGCTCGTCGTGGACCCTATCAATTCTCATTGGCATCATACAATTTATAATCAGACTGAGAAAGCAATCTTTCCTGAATATTTTCATGGTAAATGTCAACGAGTTATCGATGGTGTTTATAAAGATCCAGAAGGTTGTCCTAACCCGGATTGTCCGGTGTAAGTCTTTTTTTTCTTTTTTTTCCCATCTCCAATTCCATCCTTCTTTCGAGCGTTCCCGGTTCCTTTATATATATCTATATATATCAACTTGTCTTGTCTTTAGGGTTTGTGGTACACCGGGATCGATGGTTCATTTTTATGACGTACGTTCAATTTTTTTTTCTTCTTCAATCAAATAATCTTGGATCTTGACCTTTTTTTTTTTTTTTCATATATCTATTCTTAGAAATTGGTCTCTATTGTCTTTAACGTCATGCAAAAATCTTTGCACACTTCTCTACCCACCACCGGATCAGCTTATGATCAACTCGAGCAGGCTGTCATCTCACTTGCTGCCACAAACAGTCGTCGTTCGTCCTTACATGCTCGAGGAAATAATATGGATCCCAAGATCTTGCCTGAGCTTCCGGTACAAGTTCTTAATCAAATGTCGGAACAAGATTCATGGTTGTCACCTCACAAGCCACATGCGCTTTCAACCATTCCCTTGAACTCTTCAGGTGGAAAGATGAATAGCGTGCCTTTGGATACTAAACCTGTCCTTTCGACTTTTGATAAACGCTCTTCGCTACCTCTCCAGCTCGCTAGTCTTCCGCTCAATCCGACAAGCTTCCTTTCAAGCCCTCCCAACCCAGGTGGCCTTCCTGGTACCGTAAGCTTGCCCGCCGTCGGAAGCCTTCCAGTTGATCCCACTAGTCTCGTTGGTCGTAGCACTCTTCTAAATGATCCAACCACCCTTCTTTCAACTCTCCCCAACGCTGGAAATCTTCCTGGCCCAAGTTCCCTTCCGGTCAACCCCACTAGTCTTCTCGGCCGAAGATCTCTTCTAATCGATCCCAACACCTTTCTCCCAAGCATCCCTCGAGCAGATGGCCTCCATGGCCCAGGTTCCCTTCCGGTAGACCCCACCAGTCTCCTTACTCGAAGCACTCTTCCGATGGATCCGACAAGCATACTTCCCAGCGCAGGTTTCCTTCCGGTCGATCGTATTAGGCTCCTCAGCAAAAGTACTCTTCCTGTTGACCCAAGCCACGCCTTTGATTCTGCTGGTCTTCCACTGAAACCTATGAACACCATTGAGAAGAACGAGATGCCAGAAGGCCTTCAATCAGCGACTGGTCAGAGAAAGTTACCAGTGGACCCAACTCAAATGCTTTCGATGAAAGATCTTCCTGTCGTCCCCACTCGAACCCTACCCCGACGCAGTCTTCCTCTCGACCCCAGCATGCTCAACAGCCTTCCGGTTCAAAGTCTTCCTATTCCCAACAAGTCTGCTGGGCTTCCGGTAGCTCCCGCTGAGGACGCTAATCCTGAACAGCTACTCGCGAAGGTAGACAAGCTCAAGCATCAGAACCTAACCCAGCTTCCGTCCTCGCGCTTCCTCAAGAATGTCGACCAGCGTGAAACCGAGCTGCCGAAGGAAGCCGTCAACAAGGTCTTGGCCGCCCGAAGCGCATCTTCCTCCACCCAACGGTTCCGCTTCCGACGTGTCTTGCGCCCGAGCCTCATCGGTGACGATGAGAAGCGCGAAGATGATGAGACGGCTAAGGATGGTGAGGATCATACCGAACACGATGGTGATGATCGAACAGCACTAGCTGATGGGTCTTTGCGAAACGGTTCTACGGACGATGATGCGGATGATTCTGAGGATGAGCCTATCACCGACAAAGACTCTACCCAACCAGCACCTCAACGTTTACATCCAAGACAGCAGGTACCTGACCTTTTGCTTCTTCCCAAGTTGGCTATTCTTGAAAGCTCGGTCCTTGTGACTCCAGATGCTGGCTTATTACCCCTGCTCACCAAACGTCGATTACCTCGTATGTCAGACCAAGAGATTAGTCAAAACTTGAAGCAAATCATTGAGAGTTGTAAACAACAATTTAAAGATGGATGTGGAAAAAATTTTGAGAATTGTAAATGGGAAAAGGATATGAAGGTAAGCTTTTTTTTCTTTGTTTTTTCTAAAGTCATTTACTTACGCATCATTTCTTTTTTTTTATTATTCTATATATATATATATTTGGTAGTCATTTATCCTTAGCTTTCCTTAATTTTGGATTTGAATATATATATATATATATATATATATTTTCATTTCCCAGTTTTTTTTTTTTTTTTTTTTTTTTTTAAAAAAAAATAAAATAAAATAAAATAAAAAAAACTTATTTTAATGATTTTGGAATATATATATATATATATAACCAAACCTTTTACAATGGTTCTTAATTTTTAACTCTTTTTTATTTTATTTTATTTTTTTACTTGACAGTTATCTTTTACTCTTTTTTTTTTAAAAAAAAAAAAAAAAAAAAAAAAAAAAACCCAACTTTGGTGGGTTTTGGTATTCAGTTTTAACGTCGAACAAGTGCCTTCAATTGAATGTTTGAAAAATATTTCAAGATCTGATACGTTAAAACTCCTCTCAAGTTGTGTGAATAGAATGATGATGATGATCATCATCATCATTATCTTGAACCCTAAATCTCGAATTCATTAAAGAATTATAGGTAGGATCACATGCTAATCACTACTAGCACAATAGGTATTAAAGATATTATTTTTCAAAAGGGGGTACCTGACAATTTCTTATTATAATTGAAACAGCATGAGATTGATTGATTATTTTGTTTGTTTTTTGGTAAAGTTTTGGGTCCTTTTTTTTTTCAGAAAAAGATTGCGAGAAATAAAAACAGAGGCGCTCTTAAGAAGCTTTGGAATAGTTTATAATTTCAATTGGGTTTTTTTTTTTTTTGTATGAGATTCTTTTTGATCAAATTGAATAGTTGACATGTTGTATTATTAATCATTAATAAGATATAAATGCTTTGAGACGTTGTGAGAACTTGTGGGACCTTATTCTACCTTCTTCAAACCTACAGAATGATCTTATGCGTACACACTGCTGATCTTTTCAGAGAGCCAAGTCATAACTTAATTTGGTCGGGTTCGAATGTAAACAGTGAGCTATTTGCCAAAGCGTGATAAGCCTTTAATAACCCTCTCGACCCTTCTACAGGTCAAGCTGATCCGACGCTCACGTTCGAGTTGAGGATCAATCGATTGAGATAGTATCATATGTAGATCAGAGTTCGGGTCCCAGTTGAGAGTTTGGCAGAGGTCTTTGTTCAATCGGTCGACGCGTCTGTTGGGGATCGCGTGGAGGAGGTCAGTGTAACATCGAGAGCGAATGATAATCAGTGATCTTCGAGGGACGAAGAGGGAGAAGATTGGATCTGGTGAAATTGGACGACCGGTAGCGGTGGGACTGGTGGTATTGACGGGGGATGTTGATTCTTGAGAGGGAGGATGTATGACCAAGGTAGGAATTTTAGTTGAAAGGGTTTCAGGAAATGATGGTGAGATGGAATGATCGTCAATGTAAGAATAAAAGTCGTAAGTCGTATGAGCATCTAGAGACAAAGTGGCAACAGTCGGAAAGTATGCTGGCCCGCTAACCCAAGAAAAGTTTAAATTAAAAGTGTTGGGTTAGTATCACCCTCTCAAAAAGTTTCACAGATCCATCACTTACTCCTGATGAGGAAGGATGCCATCACCTGGCAAATACTCGTTTACTAGACAATGATTAGGTTCAATAAACGGATCCTGCTTTGAACTTGAATCGGAAAAGATGCCCAATCGCGAAATTCTCTGAAAGACGTTAGGCCACTCATGATTCACAAATCCGGGTAGATCTCGAGGAATTAAGCTTCCTTTTGCAGTCAAGGTGCCACCCCAATACATTGATCTACATCGAGGGTCATGCAAATGGATCCGATCGGGTAACATATGCCATCAACACCTTGGGTCAGCTTTTGGTCCCAAGCACTGGTTGTACTGCTAAGATAGGTTAGTGATGGTATATGGAACGGACCGTCTATGTTTGATGTGCTGCCAACCACCTGCGCGGATAGAGATGGAATTACCGGGCTCGATGACCATATTGGAGTTGCCGACTTGATCTGTCTATGGCAAAGGTTTCGAAGAGATCGGAAGCCATGATCAGCAGACCGTTGACTGAGTTGTGGTGTGATGCATATGTATCACAACCTTTCTTCTCCGTGGAATCGTTTGAATGAGGCTTATGACCTTTGGGTGGACATCAGCGGAACTGGATAGAATTGGTAAAACAAACCTTTTGGGAGAGATAACTCTCTTCTGCTCGAGTGATGAAATCGGGAATCAGAAAGATTTCAGGAATGGGTACGGCCAGACGGTAAGGGTCGAGGAAGTCTTGAGACATGGTGATGGTTGTCTGAGTTTTAATAAAATAAAATAAAATAAAATAAAATGATGAAAGTGAAAGTCTAAAGTCCGAGGTGTTGGTTGTCAATTTACCACATTCACACATCGATCAAGCCAACCGAAATAGACTACCCGATCAGTTTCGAGTTCACTTCAGGTTGGTCTAAGGTTCTATCCTGCCAAGTCTTGGTTTGTTCACTCTACAAAATCTTCTTCACATTGCCCATCTTGAGTTTTTTTTTTTCCTTTTTATCTTCTTCTCAGAGCTCACGCCCCATCTGGCTTATCACTCTTGGTCTGATGACTATACAACTAGTGATGCAAAGCGATTATAGTTGAAAGGCAAAAAGAAAAAGCTTCGACCACCCCAGGACTCGAACCTGGAATCTCCTGCTTACAGCCACCCTAATCGTAGGCAGGCGCCTTAACCATTGGGCCAGGCAGCCATAGAAGGCTGGGAAAATTGTTAAATTGATTCCCAGAAGAAAACTCCCTCTGAAACAGTATGATCGATGGAGATTTTTTATTTCCTTTGATTGAGTATTATAAAGTCATGTTGTCTAGGAACTCAAGCTTTGAAAATTACAAAAAAAAAAAAAAAAAAAACATGTTGATTAATGAGTTTAAAATCAATAGGGGGTTCTCAAATACAAACCGAGTTGCCAAAAAAAAAGAAAAAAAGAAAAAAAAACCTTATAGTACACCTACTTTCCTTTCTTTGCGTGGTAAACCTTGAATAATTATGAAATATTTTATCAAAAGTTTCTTGTCAAAATTTCAACTGAGTTGACTTAGGTTTTTATAATTAACATTTTTTTATTTTTATTTTTATTTTTTTTTTTTTTGATAAGCCAATTATATTTCAGACTTGCTAATGATCACAATCAATTTATAAGTAATATTGACAAATTCCATCTCAGGTACACTTATATTAGTCCTTTTTTTTTGTGTGAATCTATACATTTGAGAGATACTTACTTGAATGTCTGAATATTAAAACTGTAAAGTACAAAGAAGGTGAAAGTATACTCACTCAACAACAAGTGCATCTGCTACATACATAATCATTCTTGAAAAAGAATCAATCTCCTTTGAAAAACAGGGTCATCTGGTCGAAGGCAAACATATATCTTCATTCAATCACGCTATGAGAGTCTACTTTTTCTGGAGCTGGTTGAAAGCTGATACTCTGAAGCAGACAATGATTTAGGAATCTAGCTGTACTACAATTGTATGGTTAGTTGCAAAACTTGTAATCCTTCATTTTTCTAATCAGTGTCCTCAACATTTGGGGGGCACCCAAAGTTCCCCTATGAACCCACCAGCCAAGGACACTTACATACCATCCAGTCACCTAAATGAAAGATCCAAAATACACAATTATGATCCCACTGTCCTTGACTTTAGTTGAACTTCTCTTGCCAGCAGACATACATCTTTTTCAATATGCATGCTCTGCTGATATCATGCCTTGATTTCAGTTTTATCTTTTTCAAAACACAATGACAAACTGTGATCATCTTCTCTGATCTTTCATCATTTGCATCCCAAATAGTTTGACCATGTTTGCACCACGAAATCTTCATCTCATCTCAAACTTGGTGATATTACAACTTGTCACAATCATATTTATGAATTAAATCTCTACAGAACTATGTTTCTGAACTGTTTTCTTTGGTTGAATAAAGACAAAAGCAACCATACCACAAAAACAATAATATTCAAGGTGTAAAAAAAAAAAAAAAGGATACTTTTCAAAATTTTACCACTTGAAAGGAGATAAAGTGTACATCCATGACCACTCAGATAGCGGTCTCATTTTAGCATGTAACATTACCTCACCCAAGAAATAAACGCGATAGGGATAAGCAGTCAAGAGTGAAAAGATCAAGACCCAGAGAGTACCACCACCCAAGCGCTTTGGAATCCAAGGTATGATTTTAGGTTCGAGAAGGATTCCAATGGGTTGTATCATGAAGAAAAAAAAGGCACCTGGAAAAGACCTAAAAGCCCAAAGCGGTGCATCTTGTGGGGCTAGTGCATATGCCGCTGTGAGAGGAAAAAAAAACAAAAAACAAAGAAGAAGAAGAAAAAAAGGAGGTTTGAATCTCAGTCAATAACTTACTTATCTCATTTCATTCATTCAAAAAAAAGCAAAAAAAAAAAAAAAAAAAATTCTACTCAACCATATTCATGTAAGATTCCACTTGAAGCAAATACACCAAAAAATCCAAGTAATTTTTGAGTTTTTTCCTTAGCTCCAAATTTTTTAGCTACCCATATCATAGGTTTTTTCCCTGTGATCAAAAATAATCTTTGAAGTAACGTTTGCCACCTCTTACCCCAAAGTTCAGAAAGTGAGGTTGATTTGTATGGTGAATCAAAGATGGGTGGACAATTGATCGGATCAAAAAGTTCTAACAACTCTTCAGGAAATCGAAACCAAACAGCTAGCCTATGAATCAAAGCTCCGATTAAGGTAGCAGATGTATAAATCGTATCCATGCTAGATGCGATCCATCCTCCAAATGCAAACGTATATAAGGTTTCTGATATAAACTCTAATCCGGTAAAGTTAGGCACTCCGATCGACATCAGACCGGAAGTTGGGGTTCCAAGTGGCGAGTCGCGCGTCAAGAGGATAAAGCTGAGAGTCGCATTGAGGGGAATAGTGACACGGAATAGTCTTCGAACGAGAGACGAGATGCTTCGGTTGTTGGGTACGGCGCTAGGTCCCCAGGTCAACTGTAGTCCTCGCATTCTAGGTCACGAGTCGACAGACACAAAAAAAAAGAGTTGGTCAAAAAACTGCAGCCTAACGTGCGAACCACTTCCATACTGTTGGGAATCGTAAAAGAAAGTATAGCACGCTCACGACATCATTTGGAGGATTCCCCAGAGAGCCAGCTTGAAAGCGTTGGAAGGCTTTTCCTGTTGAGCCTTTTTATATTCTTCTTCCTCACCGCCCTTCACCTTTTCCCATCGTGGCATTCTGTTGATAATCTTGAGAGGCCTCCTGTAGCCATGCGAGCCAGATACAAACCCCCATTCAAGAGACTTGAAAGCTGCCCAAATGGGCAAGAGAGCAATCATCAAGTTTAACCACGGATTTGCTGTCTCTGATAGCATAAATGAATATAGAAAAGGTAAACCGATACCCCAAGTAACAATGATAGGTGTAAGACCCATTTTGGTCCATCGAGCAAATGTTGAGTGAGAAAACTTTGGGTGAAGCAAAGCACCTTGTAAAATGATGAGGATGTAAGGAAGAAATGCCCTAGCAGGTGCTGTTTGATGAAAACTTGTAAGATTCTCAATCGTGATCTCTGATGCAAACTGATCATGATGAATGATGGAAGACATGTTATCGGTTAGTATGTGAATCCAAGAAAGAGATACGCTGAGACCTTTGCTCGTCGTATTTGAGTGATCAAGAGGCTAGCTTGCGAAGGTCTCTAATAAAGCCTCGTATCAGACAGTGTTATGCCATACGCCTGTCCAGCTCCTCTTACATCTTCTTTGTGCTTGCGGAGCCGGTGGTGTTGACATCGGGGTGCCTGGTGTTGTGTTGCCTAGTTGACGTTTGAGCGAGGTGCTCTACATAATATCCTGAGGATAATCGGCCACGTAAAGCTCCTGCGGAACTTATTTCAAGCTACCAGAGATCTCTAGAATCAGAAAAGGATTCCGAGGCGATTTTAAATTTAAAGATTGCAGGAATCCCCTCTTTCATAGGGGACAGTCAAGATATTCAGGGGGATCTTTTTTCAAATAATTCGACCAAGGAAAACCTTGCCGTAGTAAATATACTGTACCACACACTTGACAAAAGCAGACAGGCACGTATCATCAATCATTTGTTTATTGTGAAGGTTGTCGGAGTACATAGCATTATGTCTGCTCCAGATGGGGGGGGGGACACCCGAGCGTCAGCATGCTCACGAGTGTGTAACACTTCCTGGCTGGTCCAAATCTTCAAGTCCCGGTCGATGAAAGTTGAAACAAAAGTTATTGTTTTTGTTAAAGCCTACATACATCCAGCCGTTGGCCTCAGTTATGGCAGGAGAGCGGCGAATGTTGATGGGGTCAGAAGTCAAGGTTGGAAAGACTCCCGATCACCGAATTCCAATCTGGTCTGGTATATACTGTAAGATTTGGATCTCGAGCGTTGACCTTCCTTGACAGGAGCTCAATTACTTACGCATCACGGTAGATTGACCAGCGGACTCAAGATGGAATAGGAGGAATCTCATCCGAGCCTGTCCGTCATGTTCAGCACCGTGTATTGAATTCGGCCATCTTCGACTGATGAGGCAAGCTGATGTTGTTCAGGCCACTGTCAATTTGGACTTGTATGAGCTTTCAAGCAAGAGGAGGGAGGCATTCGTGCTCAGAGTGAGTTTGGCACAGGGGTCAGAGTCATGATAAGTAAGTAAGTACTTGCTACTCACGATCAAGTTGCCGTTCAAAGACCTCCTAAACTGTTAGTAAAGTATGCAAGTATCAAACACATTACCATCAGCAGCAGCAGCAGCAGCAGGATGTATTTATTGTAGACTCGCGCCACCGAACGGGTCCAATTATTCGAGTGAGTTGTGGTCAGACTCTTGATGGACATTGTTTTTGTGGGTGGGAAGAATGTGTTGAAGAAATCAAGTCAATAGATAGCATTCAAAGGGAAGAGCTCAAGAACGTTCTCGAGTTTGTAGTGAACCCATAAGATACTTAGTCTAGACAGTTCATAGACCAGGAAATGAATCTCATCACTCACTTTCAACGAACCATGACCAACGCTCTCAGTTCTCGCTCAGCCCTGAATCGGCTGTCTAAAAGTAAGTATTCACACAGAATGGCTTCTTGACCATCCTGCCATTGCGTCCTACCTTAGCTTAGCTTACCTTCACATAACCCACTTCTTGTCTGCTGCATTGGGCTTATCGGCTCACCAAACTCCTTCCTTCTGACCTGCTCGATGAGATGGTGGTGGGACCGTCTCTTGGCTATCTCTCTCTCTGCTTCTCTCATTTACTTTTACAACTTCCTCCTCACCTCTTCAAAACCAGTTCAAGTGGGATAGATACCCTCAAACGCCCTTCCAGCTTCCTTTCACCCTTTTCATCTACTTCCATACCCCTTAACTTTGGTCAGAGATCGTTTGCTTCTTACTGAAAGCCTCTATCTTCCCACCGATCGCTCTTTTTTTTTTCATATCTATTTATTTAAAACGGTTAGGGCCATTCCCAGTTCCATCAACTTTTTATCAAACCCTCATCTTCAAGACCAAGGCCGAAACCCCTACTTTCAATTTACACCTGGTCAGCACAAGTTTTTGAAAGCTGTCTGCTGCGAACGACCCCTGCATGGTTTCCCCTTGACTTCACTCACTCACTGCTCGTGATGGTTGTATGTACATATCGTGCCAGATGACTCGACCAAAGCCAAACTC